ACTGAAACCCACACAAGCCCGGACACAGAATGGGATTCAGGGGATAGACAGCCTCCTGACAGGTCTTGGACGGACCTAGGAGGTTCTACAGAAACGCCCAACAGTGACAGTCACTTAGAAGGGCCAGAGAGCCTACAGCTAGGCGGGACAATCAGGTCATACACTGGAAGAAGCCCTGGCCTGACGAGCCCGGTGGGCAAGCAAGCAGGCCAGGCATTGGAGCACAGTCCTTGGGAGTCACCAAGGCATAACAAGGGGAACAGACACACATCACCCCTCAGTCAGGGGGTACCTGTCAGACACCCAGAGCTTAGGAGGTCACAGAGAGCAAGGAAATCTCCTAAGTACTTAGAGGATTACATAACACTATTGGCTAAACAGAGCCAGTAGAAGGGTAGAAACACTAAGGCAATGGAAAGGGGGGGAATTCCGAACATTGGGGGAGCAGAACATTGTACTAAGAGTGGGTTGTGTATTATTATGGCATTGGTCGTAGTTTTAGCCCGGGGGAAAGGGGTGTTATGTCCTGAGCCTTGCAAGCAGGCTCAGGGCATTGCAGGCGGTCCCGGGCAGGTGCAAGCTGCCCGGGACCAGACAGGCTGTCGCCAGTATGTGTGCGCATGCGCGGGTGCTGGCGAGCCAAAAGTAGCAGATTGACCCGGGGAAGGCCTATAAAAGGAGGCCAAGAGTTTTGGGCGTTGCCGCCATATTCCAATGTAAGCTGAACTGAAGAATAAAGGTTTCCCGAGAACTACAACTGCTTCTCGTGTCTTACGGTTTCGCGACGGACTCAACACTGTCCCTAAGTTATTTTATGCAGTATCCCTTTGGCAATTTGCCTCAACCTTGTGCCTTCTATAATACCTGGGACCACAACTTCCCAAGTTCCTAATCTGCATGGCCATATCTGAAAATTGTGAACAATCATATCTAAAATACCATGTCTGTTGGAATCCAGGTTGAAGAAGATAGTTCAGTGAGTGGGTCTCTAAATTATACCATACTATAAAGAGGAGGAATATGTAAGGCTTGTCTAAAACATTCTAATGGCTAAGTTCACATAAATCAAAATTAACCTAGCATATCCTTCAGACCTACCCTCATGTGGATAATCTATAGTTGAGTATGTCATTCAAATCCCTGAATTAAATCAAATCAGCAACCATGAATGAGCATGTTCTATTAGCAGGCAACATGTTTGAAATAGATATAATATTCAAGCTGGTTTCCATGAAAATCAACCCATTATGTTGGACAGGTGTTACTCCAAAGAAAATGTGGGTAGGCTTTCAGGCATTATAACATTTTCTATAACAAGTGGCAGCCTTTAACAATGTTGGCTGATTCCCAAAGAGTAATAATAGTCAGACTTGGCTGGCACCTGGATGTGAGAGAAATCAGGAAATGTCATGACTGTAGATTAGACCAGGTAATCAAAAAATTAAACTTCTTCCTTATTTTGGGATGGGGGAAGGTGTGCTGTCAAGTCAGTGTTGACTCTTGACCATTGCCTGGACAAGTCCCTTCAGTTTTCTTGGCAAGGTTTTGGATGTAATTTTTCATTGCCTTGTTCTAAAAGTGAGAAAAAGTGATGGGCCCAAGGTCACCTTGCAGGTTTGGTGAATGGACAAATTCTGGCAAGATTTCAGAAGTGCTTTACTATTGGCTCCTTCCTAAGGCTGATAGTGAGTGAGTGGCCCAAGATCACCCAGTTGCTTTGTGCCTGAGGTGAGACTAGAACTTACCGTCTCCCAATTTCTAGTTTGGTGTCTTAACCACTAAACCAAACTGGCTCTCTGCCTTATTATTAAGGATATGTTTGTTTTCATGCAGTCACTAGGAGTCATCTTAAAACAGGGATCTCTATCTTTTAAAAATTCTACTACTTGATCTTTCAGAGGCTTTCAATCAGATTACTGCCCTACAATATTTATGAGAAATAATATAAGATGGAAATTGGTGGCTTTGGAGGTGAACTAAGCATATTCTATAGTATAATTTCATGAACTGCTCAATGTTGAGCTCTTTCGTTATTTCTTTCATGTTTGGTCTTGATTTCAAGCTACACTGTATTATTTTACCATTCTATTTTTTTATATATTTCATACTTTTAAAAAAATGTTATAAAGCACTTGTGTTTAATAGCTGGAAAACATTATAGAAACTAATAACAATGGCAATAATATTTAAAACAGTTTTGCTGGAAAGTTTCTAATCCAATAAATAACATTGGAAGAAAATAAGGAAAGGAAAAATCTTTAAAATAATGGAAGAGACCAATTGTATTATGCATAATATTTTGGGGGAAAAACCAGGAGCCAGGACTATAAACCACTGGGGCTGAAATGTAAATTAGTAGAATGTCCAAAAAAAAATAATAATAAATGACTGAAAACATATTAGAGCCAGTTAGTGGATAAAGTAGAAAAAAAATTAGTGGGAAATTTACATAAGAACTCTGTTCCAAGTCAAAGTACTTCTGGATTTATTAACACATATTGTTAACTGTGTTTGAACAAATAGATTTATATCTAATCCAGATGACAACTATTTGAAACCAAACAAAAAAAAATATTTTCTATGAAAAGCTGTAGAGCTTGCTGGTTATCCAATTTCCCATTTCTTGGCTTCCACTATTTTAGCAAGTATTTCAAGAAGAAAGCAGCTTTGACAATTCTGTACCTCTCCTTCACTTCCCCGCTTCTGTTCCCCTACCTCTGTCCCTTCCGTCAGACATGTGCATATCACATGAAATAAGGGCATGGATGGCACTCCCAAGTGATTTATTTTATACTCCCCTTTTGTGTGGAATAAGTGGAGGAAATGCAGCAACTTTGGATGTGATAACGGTTGAATATTATTCTTTCCTCTTGCTCAGTGCTTAGAGGTCAATAGAATACCACTGTCTTCTACTCATTTCTGAGGAATTCAGAAATAAAACAATAGTGGTGTGCAAGATTGTTAACAATATGAAGGATTTTTTTTATATGTGTGTATATTGTGAAGCTGTCTCTTGCATTTCAGTAGTTCATTATGTAGTCCTGAGATACATACAATGGAAGATTATTCAATTGCAACTGAAAACTGTTAATTGTTGTTAAAATTCTCACTAGTAGTCTTCTGGATTGACTCTTATTTGTAGACAATACACACACAGAAGGCAAGTTAGAGACTTATGAACAAATTAAGGGGGAAAATGAAGCCAATTACTGTTTGTGTAACAATACAGACTGTGACAAGACTTCTGTGTCTTTATAAGTAGCAAGCCAAAACAATCTCAACTTCCTACCTTATTTTTATTCGCTGTCCCTTCATTCCATCTAATTTCCCTAGGCCTAATCACATAGCGGTCAGATTTAAACAAAAACCATCCCGCACAGCTAGGCTAATAGCAACCTCACACCACACCATTTTTTTTAAAAAAAAAATACTACAAATCTGCAGGTTCACATTCTTCATTTTTACAATAGAGGATTTCATGTCATCTTGAGAGGAACACATTTATTATTGCAGGTGGACACTGATCCATGAATGCTTATGTAATAATAAGTGTATTAGTTTTTATGATTCCATTAAACTAATCATTATATTTTCTCTAAAAGCCTAACATGATTCTTTGGAAAGTGTTAGTCATGTCATTAAGGAAATAAACATGTTTATGGATAGCTGGCAAATATCTATTCTGATTAAACTTTTTCATGGCTTATGAGGTAACATGAGATTGGCACAGAATTTAAACATGATTGCTCTTGTCTTATTTTTGCTTGTCTGGACTGGCATGTTTTAAGTGTTGTTGTTTTACATTTAATATACAGAAATGCTTAAAAATTTGTGAATCCCTTTGAATTTTCAATATTTCTGCATAAATCTGCCTTAAAACATGATCACTTTTCTACAGAAGTCCTAAAACTAGACAAAAAGAAGCCAATTAAATAAATGAGTCAAAAACATATTTGTTCATTGATTTATTGAGAAAATGATCCAAAGCTAAATATTTTATGTGGAAAAGTAGGTGAGCCTTTCCTTTCAGTAGCTGATTGGGCAGCAATAACTGAAACTAAACATTTGCAATAACTATTGATCAGTCTGCACATAAGTCTGGAGAAATTTTATCTCATTCCTCCTTACAGAACAACATCAACTCAGGGATGTTGGTGGGTTTTCTCATATGTACTGTTCACTTCATGTCCTCCCACAATATTTCTATAGGATTAAAGTCACAACTTTGACTTGGCCATTCTAAACTTTCTTCTGCTTTAACCATTCTTTGGTTTTGTGACTTGTGTGTTTTGAATTCTTGTCTTGTTGCATGATCCACTTTTTATTGACCTTCAGTTCATGGACAGATACTTTGTCATTTTTCTGTGGAATTCAAAATCCATAGTTTCTTCAATGATGGCAAACTACCTCTGTCCAGAAGTCCAGACCCGAATATCACCACCATATCTTAAGATAGGGTTCTTATGCTGAAAGCAATATTTGCCTTTTGCCAAGCATATCTCTTTTCATAGAAGCCAAAAAGTTAATTGACCTTTTCTGAGTAGGGTAATGTTGGTACCATTTTCTGGGAGGTCCTCAGAAATCTCCCTTGTTCAACCCATGACCCAATTCCACATCATTGTTTTGAACAGAGCATACTTTGATAGCAGATACCCAGAGTTCTTATTTCTTTAAATAGGTCAGGACTTCCCAGACTCTCAACTGAGTGTCATCCCATTGATTGAAATGCCTGACTCTAATTCCTATTCAAATAAAGTGATAAAGGTTTACATACATTTCCACACACAAATATGTAGCTTTGTATCATTTTCTTCAATAAAGCAATGAATAACTATAATGTTTTTGGCTGATTTATTTAACCAAGTTCTCTTTATCTAGTTTTAGGGCTCATGTGGAAATATTATAAATTGAAAACAATTACAAAATTGCAAAAAAAGTTAATTTTTTTCCAACCCTTTTCAGGTCCATTAGTTCCAGAATCTCTGTTTAGAAGAAAAAGTGATAGACAATTGGAAATGATGATGAGAAGCAAAGTGTTTATTGTAAACACAAGTGCAAAATTAATATTTGCAGTGTGAGTTTTGCAAATATTGGACAGGTTAATGTGACTGTATAATATTTATTAAAATGATGAATAAATAAACCAATAATGAAATGTATCAAATAACAATTTCTGCAGCAATTATGTTTTTGTCTTCAAGTAAGACACGGTGGCAAAATTACATTCCATGGGACAAAGTACAATCTATATTCCATCTAATTTATTTTAAGCAAACTCTGAACTCAGTTTCATTTAGCAGTTTATAATCTATTTTGTACAGATAATTCAGTGCAGAATTCACCTGTCCTTCAAATTCTGGTTGCACTGTCTCATAGGCTCCTTTCTATGGTAAGCATCAGAAATAGACTCAGTTCCAATTTGAACATTAATCATAATAGCACTACCAAGAATGAAAAATAAAGGAAAAATTCTGAGTATATCAAAATATTTCTTTCCAGATATTCTATACAAGAGTTTCCTAAGTTTATAAATGACAAGCATTTTATGGAGGATTTAAGATTCTTTGCAAAGAAGCTAGAGGGTGATTTTTATTTAAACAAGAGTCTTTGGGATTGTGATAACAGAAAGTCTTGTTTCAGATTACTTTTGTTTGAAATAATGAAAATTACTTGTGATTAAAAATCTCTTCATGTCCCCCATCTCCCTATTTCCTAAGAATTCTTATAAGCAAAAACATGTCCGTTCTACCAAAAAAGCTTTTTCTTCAAATAAATGGAAAACCAAGAAAGTTACATTATTCTAGAAGAAAGCATGCAACCTTTAATAAAGAGTCCAGTTGTAACTTGTGCTTGGTAATTTATTTTTATGCAATCTATCCTATTGGTATAATTCATAGCTCAAATAGATAGAAATTTTCAAGATGGGAGGTTAATGTTTGATCCAACAAGTATATTCTTTTGGCTTTTTCTTCCTGCACAAAAGTGTATGAAATGTTGTTTCCTTCACATGGAGTCATATTCTTTTGAAATAATCTGTACTTCTGTGTTTCAGGTTGGCATGTTTTTAGATGTCTTCTTAATTTTATGGATATAGGCCTCTGTTACCCAAAACTTGCTCACATCCAACACACTGTCCATTGGTTCATCTTTTTTTGCCAGTCCATGTAAAACAAAATTTGATAAAGCTCTAATCATATTTCCATGTTTTACTTGTACTTGAGCTTAATTATTAAATGCTTGTGCCATAAGAAGCAGCAATGGAATTTATTTTATATTTCCTGTTTTCACCTTATTCTGTATTGTTTTCCTTCATATCAGAGACTCTAGAAAGAAGATTGGGAAGATAAAATATATGATGAATGATTGCAGGAACTGAGCATGTCTAGTCTAACAAAGAGAAGGACTGGGGTGAGATTATAGCAGTGGTCCAATATCTGTGGGGCTGTCACAGTGAAGAGTGAGTCAAAAGAATGGGTATCCAAAGAACTTGAACTCAGGACAAGAAGTAATGGATAAAACTTATAAATGAGAGATCCACCTTAGAACTAAGGAGAAATTTTCTGTCATTGAGAACAATTAGTCAGTAGAAGAGCTAGCCTCCAGAAGTTGTGGGTGCTCCATCACTAGAGATTTTTAGGAATAGATTGGACATTCAATTGTCTGGAATGGTATAGGGTTCCTGCTTGAGCAGGCAGTTGGACTAGAAGACCTTCAAGGTCCCTTCCAATTCTGCTATTCTGTACTGAGTTTTTAGACAAGGATCCATTTCTAGGGGGAAAAACACATTATACAAGCAGCAGATTGTTGACTTGATTGACAGAACATTTTTGTATCTTCACAACAATGTGTCTCTTTGGACTTTTTTGGAAAGACAAAATCATTTATAATGCAGACTAAATTTTTATAACTTTGCATCTGTAACTGTGGAGTGGAGCAGCTTATTATTGTTGGGAATTTCACCTTCAGCTTACCTTTCACTTCCTTTTCCTGGAATTCCACCTTTGAAGGGTGAGGCTGAGTTGATAAGGTTTTGCTTGAATCACAGTCCCTAAAACACACACACACACTTTTACCTAGTCTGATTTTATACCTATATTTGGAACTTCTTCATTACCAGGCTGGAGTTCTAATATGTTGTCACTCAACTTTTCATCTGCCCTGCCCCCTTTCATAGTTATTCCACTGGCATTTATTTTGCTGAAAATTTCTCTCCTAAAACAATGCAAAACAAAGCAAACTACAGAAAGGAATTTAAACCTGGGGAATGACCTCATCTCAATCTAGTTCAAATAGCATTATTTAAAAGTAAGATTGTGCACTAAATTTTTAGTATAATCAGGAGCTCAAAAGGGTAGGGAGTATATGTTTTGGACTTTGGTATTTATGCTTATTTCTGCGTTACTTCCCACTTGCTATTTTTTTTAAATCAAAAACTACAACAATAACAACAATTTTTAATCCTGCCAGTTTACCTCTAATTTTGGAACTAGGTTAGAAAACATAGTCATGAGAAAAGGAGAAAATAAGGAGCCTTAGAGCAAGTAAGATTCATTATTTTTACTTATATGCTTTTAAAAAGATAAAACCACTTTGATTCTTGTTCTGTACCTACAAAAGAAATCCCAAGACATTAATCTTTTACCGGGATTTATTGCTAACTACATTTGCCATTAATGTAATTTACTTAGTAGGTATTATTCTATTTTTAATGGTTGTTAGCTGATTTAAGAAGTATTTCATTGGCTATAAATATGAGATATACATCCAAAAAATAAATCACAAATTAAAGAAGTAAACCAAAATGCAGCTTACCTGAATTGGCACTAGTTTGGCTTTGGATTTTTTTTAAAAAATTGTGATGCACTCTGGGACCTGAATGACATTCCCAAAAGCAAGAAATGGGTTGTTCAAATAAATAAATTGAACATAGAAAGTTTGTGCAGTATATCAAATTAAAAATGCACCTTTAAAGGTACTCTTTGAGTTGTAGAAAAATCCCAATGGTGTGCAAAGAAGAAATTTTTGGGGACTATAAAGCAGTGGCATTTGTCAAAATAGTTTTAATTTTGATAATAAAAGGCACCACGTTGTATCTAAACAGACAGCTAATGAATAGATATTGCATGTTCTTCAGGAAGGACTGATTCTCAGAGGATTTTTTGCTGGCAAGAAATGAGAACTCCTAAATGGAAGGTAGAAGACTGGAGATGGGTGTACAGCTTGAGAAAAAATTATTTCCCCATTCCTCGGGTGTTTAAAGGTCCTGTTCTGCTGTAGTACACAATCTCTGGCAGTGAGGCAGAGAGGGCATTCAGCTGGAGTTGACAATCCTAGGAAGGAAGGCTGAGTTTGACAGATTTTTGCCTGTATTTATAATTTATTCTTCCTTTTGGAGTGGAAAGAGGCAACTTCCTGTCAGATAAATGATTAACTTACGTTAATCTCTATTGTTTTTAAATAGTCCTTTTTGTCTCTTAGAAAACTCCATTTTTATGTAATTTGAAACTCTCATCTTTGGTGAGTTGCTACAGATTTCCACATACTTAAGAGATTTTGAAATTTTTATTATATTGCAGACTTAGCTAATCCTAGGAAGCTTCCTTTCTCTGAGAGTCTTATCATTGTCCTCGTAGCCAAAATACAAAGTAACATATGACCTATATTATCTTTTTAACAGCGATAGCAGGTAATGACATCTCACTGAGAAGACCCCTATGAAGTTTCCAACTATGCATCGGAAGAGTTGATATATTCTGTTTGAAAATCAGATATGCACATTCCCTTCATCTTCCTATACTAGACTGGCTTTTCAAAGGACAAAGGCTGCTGATGACTGGCGGGGGGATAACAAGTCCTGAAGAATCCACAACAGGTGGTGTTACCAACTGCAAATTTAACTCCTGGTCAAAATAATCTGATAGCCTACTGTGAAGAATGTAAGAATTTTTGAAAAGTATGTAAGTCAGGAGGGAGTGAATAGAGAAAGCCTAGTTTTTTGAAAGCATTGTAATTTCATGTTTTGCCCTTTTGGAAAATCAAGGTAGTATGCCACCCCACTCTTATTTCAACTCTGTGAACAGATACAAAGAGTTCAAAGCTAGTCTGGAAGATGTTCCTATGCAAACTAGATTTAGTGTAATAATAATAATAAAAAAAACAGTAGCTCAGTCGTTAGCCAAGTTGAACATCATATATCTACTTCTATATAGGAATGTTTGTTTAATATAAAATATGCTCAGCCCAGTCAATTCTCTCACCACTGAAATGGAAGGCTAAAGCAGAGGTGTGAAATATCAACTTCAAAGTGTTGCTGAATTTCCTACACTTTACAGCAATCTCAGCCAGCAATATGTCCCTAACTCAGTAGTTATCTTACTATTTCTGCTGATACAAATTAGGATGCTAAATTTGATGATACTCTTTGAATATATACCACAAACGTCCACATATTTTGTTTCAGTTGATGACACCAGCTTTTAATATTGTGTGTGAGGGAGCAACTATTCATATTTTCTGTACCAATATTTGATTTTATATATCTCTGTCTTCTTTCCTATTGCTTACCTTCACTACAAGCAAAAGCACTGCAAACACATTGCAATTTCTTTCTGTAAGGAAAATTTAATTATGCCTCAGGCCTTTAATCTGTTGTTTGCATTTTTTGTGTGTGTTTTTCAAATTCTGCAATATTGGTTGCCTGTGTGATGATCATGGCAACTCGGGAGGTAAGGGGTAGGGGGAAGGGGGTCCAGAATGGCTCAGGAGTTTGTGGTTTTCATGACAACCATGGGTTTCTCTCAGTTACATCTGGTCCAATACAGAATGCGGATACACATTTAATCTATTTTTTTTTTCATCTTAGAACAGCAGACTTGTGATATGAAAGAACATTATTGTTAACAATCTTTTCTGATTATCAGATCCCTTTCTGGCCAGTTCATTGACTGAAGAACAGATCTCAGACAACACCCTAGATATGTAATGAATATACTACTTTGGATAGAAAAGGATTTTTCCAGAAATGTGTTGGAGAATTCTACCATATTTTATATAAGTACCCACAATGTGTGGAATCAATTGGGCAAACAAATTAATATTTTTGCTGGTTAGCAACACTTTAATGATACAAGATTAAGTACTAGAATCTAATTCCTAATTTCCTAAACACTTTCTTTCCTTAAATATTTCTCCTTTGCAAGAAACTTTAAAATGTTTTGGATCTTAAGGTTTTGTTATTAACTGGACTAAAAAGCTACTGTGCCCAAATGGGAAAACAGTTATAGTGTACCATTATTTCACAGCTCTAATTATATGATTAGATATATCTTCCTATAGCCTGCCAAGAATGTTGCATCTATTTTTGTAAGTTGCATTTCATTTGTAATATTTTTCAGTTTCTTTTGTTAAATAAAGTTTGACTTTGTTCATCTCTGACAAGATTAATTTATCTCCAAAAAATGAAGGGAATGACGCACAATGGTAGTCACACACTTCTGTCCTATTATATTAAAAGTCGGCATTACAGAGATTTTATTATTTTCTTTTTTTACTTTTTCCTCACCAATAGAGTAGCATTTGTAGGACCCCTATCTGTCATCAGCTAATATGAGGAAGATGCCAGACAATAGATCGTGGCAATGGTGTCAAGCCAGGGCTACACCAGGGAAAGAGGTTACCAGTTAGCATATGGAAATATTTATTTATTTATCAAATTTATATAAATGCTCATTTCACCAAAGGCAACTCTGGGCAGTGAACAACAATATATAAAATAGAAAATATAAAAATAGCATATGCAATTTTTAAAAAAAACATAACAATAAATATCATAAAAACCAAAAAAAGCAAACCCTAGATGAAGAGAGAATTTTAAAAATGTCCCCCTTAAAAACGGAGCCATCTGGACAACATTATGAGAGTCCTTAATCAGCTCTAGGGAATTGATATTCAAATATCCAGAACTAAATTGACAATATCAGCATAATTAGGAAAAGTACTTACAAAGAAGTTTGGAAAAAAAACAGTATTTAAACAATGAATGTTAAGATGCTTGTTCAGGCTACATATGGGCGACAAAAGTATCATATGAGACCAAGTGGGTTTCTGGAGAAGAATTTGAAACTTCTCGCTTTTAACTTTATAGGCTCAGTCCTACCTACCATTATTTATTTTATTTTATTTATTTTATGAGACTTATATACCGCTTTAAGTGCAAGCACTCTCTAAGCGGTATACACCAGTAAGTGATGTATATATATATTTACATTGCCCCCAACAATCTGGGTCCTCATTTTACCTACCTCGGAAGGATGGAAGGCTGAGTCAACCTTGAGCCGGTGAGATTTGAACCGCTGACCTGCTGAACATAGTCAGCTAAAGTGGCCTGCAGTACTGCACTCTAACTGCTGCGCCACTACGGCTCTTATAAAAGTTTGTTCTCACTTTCTCTCCCAATTTAACCTAAAATGTTATCTGTCATTCTAATAAGGCAAGCCAATAGTTTCAGATTAAAATAAGGAACATCCTTGATGAGTCCATTAACAGCAAGTAGCTAGAAAAATAAACCCCAGTCTTTAGCTAACTGAAGCCATGTTTTAAATGTTATATTAGGTTCCTTTGAACTGCGGTTAACTAGTCAATTTTTGATTTCTTCAGAAAAAGGGATTGTACAAGAACAAAAAGGGTATTATTCTATTTGACATAAACTTAGATTAGATAAATATAACAACTCATGTCTTTCAACCACTTCTTTCAATGGGTTTCTTGATTCTTTTCTAGTGTGCTACTCTTAAAGATGAAATATTTCAGCCTCCCTGTCCTGAAGCGGCATTAGTTTTGCACTACTAAATGCTTGAATACTGAAAATACAATTCCCAAAGATTGAAGATATTCTTCATTGGTATATAATCTTTCATTTCTGCTCTTATTCCTTGTCATGTGCCCATATTTTTATTCATCTTAGCACTGACACCCCACCCTTCAAAACTATTATTATAATAACAAAAAATAACTTCACTCAGATTAAAGGAGCTCACACAAACACAACCAGAATAAAACAACAATTTCTAAACTAGTCATAGCTAAAACATTTTCGAGATCTTGGGAAATAAAAATAACTCTGAGCCCCAAAAGTCATCAGACTGTATGTGAAGTAAGGATTTACTATTGCTTATGTGAGTTTCCACAACCAAAAAGCCCTATTTCTCAGTTATTATAAACCAACATCTAATAGTTGGGAGTTCTTCAGCAAGCAGTAAATAAAAACAAAATCTAGAATCAGTAACAACCAGGGTTTTTTTTGTCATAGAACGCCCAGAATGGAGTTCCAGCACCTTTTTTGGATGGAACCTCGTAGGTAGGCAAGGTGGGTTGTATCACATGTGTGAGTTCTGGCACCTTTTTTTTTTTTTTTTTTTTTACAAAAAAAAAAAAACAATAACTGGTAACAATAAGGTGACCAACCATCCTCCTTTAGGGAGGACAGTCCTCCTTTTGTAAGTTCTGTCCGCCCTCGAAAAGTGTCCTCTTACATGTCCTCCTTTTCGATATTTGAAGACTAATCTGCAGGGCTTTTTTTCTCATAGAATGCTCAGAATGACATTCCGGCACCTTTTTTTCCATGTTTTTTTTTCAACTTTTGCATGAGCTGTGCCACTCCCCCTACTGGCTTTCAAAAGCCAATAGAAATTGCAATTGAGCACGCCAAATTGCTGCTGAATGCAACTGGCAAACTTTGCACATGCAAGTTGTCTGCAGTGAAGGTGAATTGGCAGGAACTTTGCACCCCTCCCTGCTACCCAACTACACCATCTCCTAGTTAGTCCCAAAGATAGCTGGAGGAGACTGGAGCGGCGATGCCATGGTAAGTTTCTCTTGATCTTCGGCCCTGCTAGGACAATAATGGCTGCGGGCACAAGAGGCAGGGGCGGTGGGGCTGCTGCGGGCAGGGGTGTGAGGGCCGCCGGCTGCCGGCTGCCCCCCATGCTGTGGGAGCCGCAGGACCCGCTCTACACAGGGCTGTGCAGGGTGGGCGGTGGTGCTGGCAGGGTGGCTGCAGACTGGGTGTGTCGATGGTGGGCTGCCCCCCGGGGCCAGAGCTGGTACAGCTGATGTTTTGGGAGCTGCAGGGCCCACTCTGCATTTATCATATTATAGTGTATTCTGTATTATTGCTGCAATGAATAAAATGTTTCTTTTATTTACAATATTTTTTTTCTTCAATTTATTTGTGTCCTCCTTTTCACTGTAAAAAAGTGGTGACCTTAGTAACAACCAAAGATAACATATAACCTCATGCTACACTGGATTGAAAATAGCAAATAAAATTGTTTTCAGTCATTGCCTAAAGACTGAGTGAGAAAGACAATGATGGTATTAAATCTCTTGAGACAGAAAGTTCCCAGTCTGAGAACCATTCTGTCCAACTGCTGTCATCCTGCAGAACTTTTTTTTTGTTAAATTGACTTGTACCTCCACATTTTTAATGTGGAGGACAGTCTAATAATTGTACAGATATCAAACCATTTAGGGCTTTAATTAGCAATCATATTGCAGTGAAAACAAATCACCTCTAACTGGGGAATCCACCACATTCACACTTAAACCCTAAAAAATTCTGAAATTTCACCGCATTCCTTCTTGGTTCATGTTACCAGAGGATCTCCTATGCCTCTCCAGAGACATAGGAGGGAAGCAGAGTTTGGAGGCCACCTCCTGAAATGTGGTCCACTGTAGTTTAAATTGAAGTTAAATGGACATACATACATATGTGTGTGTGTATGTAATATATATATATGTGTATGTATGTATGTATATATATATATATATATATATATATATATATATATATATATATATTTGTTTTCTCCTGCGTAAAATTGGAAGTGTCTTGGCAATGTTTCAATGAAGTCCCATTCGTCATCTTCAGGCTGGTGTTTTCAGCTTCGTGCTCCTCCTTGCCAAGACACTTCCAATTTTACGCGGGAGAAAACCCGAACAACCAAAGACAATATATATATATATTGTTGCTATATGTAAAGTATATCTATAATCTTGCTACATATATTAATGTATATGTATAATATTGCTACAGATAATTTTGCCTGCTTTATTCAAAGAACCTTAACTTGAAAAATGAAAACAGTATTTTTCACTGTCTTATCTCCATCAGCTCCTCCCTGGAAAATGAACGATTCTATTAAATTATAAAGGATAGGCACTGAAAGATCCTGGAAAGAAAGGAAGACAGGGATCATTCTTGTTAGGTTTAGAGTAGATGCTTTTTTCTAATGGAGCTAATCTACAGCTATAATCTATCTATACCTTGGTAAATACTGGGAATTGTGGTCTGAACATCTCAGAGGTCCAGGTCAAAGGAAGCTGGGTGAAAGGTTAATATTAAATCTGTAAGATGACATTTGGCTTCCATTTAAAGTAGGGTGGGCCATATTTTTTTGGGGGGGGGGTAGGTTCCATAACTGTTTCCAATACTTTTGGAGAGATGTAGGAGACCCTCTGGCAATGTGATAATGGGAGGAAAGGATGAAAAGTTCAGTGTTTTTTAGGGTTTTAAGTGTGGATGTGGTGGAATCACCAGCTAGATTGGAAGGGGGTATTAAGACAGGGCTGAGTTTAGAGTCTTTTTACTGCAGAAAGCAGCACAGGCCTGACCTCAATCATGCTTGAGCTTCCAGGTTTGCTACACTTTCTTTCATA